TCCACCCTGGGGTCAGTATTTCTGTCTAAATTAGGGCCAGCAGGTGGATTTAGCGTCCGGGTAAAATCCCAAGCACTCAGCTGATTTAACACTAGTATAAAACAGCAAGTTTACCTTTTCAGTGATGTTTCTGAATTTTAAAAGTTGCTCACTTCCAAACATTCACATAACTTATTAAACAACTATTTTTTTACACCCTAAAGCAGATAATTCATGAGCTGAAGTGCACTTTCAATTCAGCCCCTTCCAGTGAGCTACTTACACAAGAATCTGCCCAGCCAGCTCCTGCCTGAAGCCCAAATCCCCAGATCCCTTTAAAACAGGATGGCCTTTTGCTGTAGACAGGCTTAGGGGAAAGATTTTCATTCCTCCAGGCTCTCACTTTACTGGAGACCTTTCCAATACAAAATGGGTTAAATATTCAAAGGTGATTTTAAGCAGCATCTTCCAGGGACAGCTTTTCCTTGCTCTGTCCAGGAGATACCTCTGCTAGTTAAAGCAGTTCTAAAATGACTGTAAATGAAAAACAAATGCAACAAAGAGTAGAAAGTATCACATTAGTTTCTAAAATGAACCCCATGCCATCAGATAACTCTAATTTCACTCGTTAAAGGAGTTATGGGAAAGGCTTCATGTGCTGACAGTTTAACTCCTGTGGGTACACACCGAGTCAAACATCCACCACCTAAAAAGGAAGGAGAAAACTTTAGGGAAAAAAAAAAAGTAGAAGCTGAATTGGAAAGACTTTTTAATGCATTTCCATTCCCAAATACACCTGCCAGCTGCCCTCATTGCTTCACATGATGTTAAATCCTTTCTTAACACTGAACACCACTTAAGTCACACTCACTGCAGCCTCAACATGCTGGCTCCTTCCTACAGCTGCTTATGTTTTAAATGAAACTATAGAATTAGAAATAATCAAACCTGCCTTGTCAAAAGAACTCCTTTAAAGACAAATTTTGCTAATTGCCAGAGAGAAGAGCCCTGATCAAAGATTCAAATATCACTGAACTTCGGGCATTGCCAGAGCTACACCAACACAGAGTTCAGACCCTTTGGGAAACAACAACCTATCCATTATACAAAGCCCCCAATATTTTCTAGGAGCCTTAAAAATACTGTATTTCCTAGTAAGGTGGGCTCATTCGAACAGTTCTAAGCACCAGTACATTCATTAGCAGCTGAAGACTTTTAAAAGCATTTCAAAATTTACAAACAGAAATCAGACACATCAATTTGAGAATTTCAAAATCCACTTGCTTTGCCTGAAGGAAAAGAGCTGCCTCACTAATTCCTGAAGCTTTTCAATGTACTACAACCTTTAGAAAGCACGAGGAATTCCTTTTGTGAATTCACGGTGTGTCCGATCAAAATTTATCTCAACAGAAAAACTGAAACCCTTCTCAATTTTAAGGCATTTTCCTAACACATCCCTGCCTGCCAGGTGAGACATTTTCAAAGCCTGGTTAATCCCCATTCCCAGCTGAGAAAATAAAAAGAAGCTGAGAAAACAGAAAGAATGATCCACTTACAAAAACTGGCAAGTCAGAGAATTAGGACCAAAACCGGCATTTCCAGCTCTCAGTGACAGACAGTGATCACTGCATCAGTCAAAATACAAACACTGAAGTGTGTATTTTCACATTAAAGGAAATAATTTTACCAGCTTTAGGTAAAACCACGGTCTGAGCTCTCAAAAACCTTGAGCACTGAAGTGAGGCTTGAGCATTAACACTGAGCTCCATCTGCTCCTCACATCCCCGGTAGGTCACTAGGAGATCTCTTCTTCTCACCTGAAAACATCTACTACCTTTTACCACCTGTATTTAAATGCAAATAAGAGCTTTCCAAAGTCTTAGCAAGCTCAAGACACAGTAATTCCAAACAGGAAAGCCCAAGAGTCCTTAGGCCTTCGGGGAACACTGCAGTGTTTCCTTGCTAAAATGAAACTGCCCTCAAAAACCTGCCCTGCCCAAGGGTTCCTTGTCCTTTGCCCCCAGGTGAGCGCCCTGGACTCCTTCCCTCTCCCCCACCTCCTCCTGAAGGCTGGCAGGAGATGGAGCCTCCTCCACGGTGCTTCCCTGGTCAGACTGACCTTGCCAGGAGGCAGAATCAATCCAGCTCTGCATCCAGTGGACTTTATCGTTCCCAAGAGCCAACCTGGCAGCCCAGCCTGGCACCCAAGGGATTGGTTATCTCTGGAAGTGCTGCCCTTGGGAGGGCGAGTGGGAGCCTCGGCGCTGGCACCTGACGAGGTTCAGTCCCTGGCACTGCCATGGCAGGGACAAAAACCCCTCCAGGAGGACACTGTGCAACTCCAAAGAGCCCTCAGAGTCTGGGGCCAGACAATCACATTTGATAAGGATTTAGGTGCCTGCTTGGAAAACTGAAAATGGAGCTCGGTGCAGCCTTCCTGAGTCAATCCCAGCCCAAAAGAGAGCCCTCACTTTGACAGGGCAGAGCAGGGTGATCGCAGCAACCACCTTCCCAGGGAAAGAAGGGAAAGCTCCACAACCACCTTGTTTGGCCTTTTCCCAACTGCCAGCAGCAATATGTTCATCAGGATGTTAATCCCTGCAGCCTGGCTGCTGAAGTCCTCTCCTCCCCCCTTGCTCTCCCCACCACCAGCCCTCTGCCACCATCTCCTCGTGGATGCTTTGGAGACTCAGCTCCATTCCAAAGCCCTGTCTCAGGACTGGAAATTCTGCTGGTGCCATCCCTGGGCCCTCCAGAGCAGTGCCTTTAACTCAGGGTTGTTTGCAGAACAAAGAGCTGCTTCTCTGTTGTGCCGACGTCAGAAAACGTGTGTGTTGTGAGGAACGAGAAAATACTGGCACAGACCTCCTAATGCAGGAAACAGATAAAAGGGGAAAAAACCCAAACAAAACCAACCCAAGACAGATGTAAGAGCTCTGAAACTGAATTATCTTATTAATAACACACAGACCTAGACTGGGGTCCCTACAGCTTTTTCTTATCACAAGAGCAAAATCTGCAGTACCAATCAAAACCCTCAATTCCAAAGTTATTTCGAAACCAAAGGTGCTTGAATAACTCTCCCTTTTAAACACAACCAAAATGCTGACAAACAACACAAGTACACGTGGGATTTTAAAAGGATATTATTTTAAAATAACCCCAAGACTGGAGTTGCCATACATGGTCCCAGCATCCACCCACTCCAGCATCCAGCCCAGAGAGGGAGAACCAGCAGGTGCCTCCAAGAGGAAACTCCCCCAGTTGGCCAAAGGTCCAAGTTGTATCCCAGTACAAATTTCATCCTAGTAAATCAACCTCTGACGAGTTGCTGCACAGCAGAGCACAGGCCTTGGATACAGTGCACAAGCTGCATGGTGTTAAAAAGTGCTAAGTGCCCAGACAGAGCCATTATTCCACAGCTAAGAGCTTGATACTGTTAACAACCATGTCCGTGCAAAGATGAGCCAAATTCCACACACAACGTAGGTAACACAGAAGATTCGAGTCATTCTCCTTCAAGCATTTCTGTTCTGGCCTCAAGAACTGCAATATCCACCCAGTGAACTTTGGAGTGAGGCTTTTCCTGCCTCTAGAACATTACCCAGTGCACTTTGTTTGAAGTGCTCCTATTAGCTCAAAGATTCCACTCAAAAACTCATAACATTTTTGCATTTTTATAATTCTGCTTTGCTTCCACTTTATTTCAGTCTGTAATAATGAACCACTTCTCTGGTGTAACATATTTTTTAACCTGCCTCCACAATATCCCTATGAGTTTAATTACCTTCATCTCCAAAATGAAGAAACTGAAGCACTGAGTAGCAAGTCCCTGTTTTTTTAGGGAGATGCCACTCCAGGACTCACACTGTGAGGACACTCCAGCTGCAAAGCAAATCCCAGACTTTCTCTAAAGCAGGCCCTATTTTTCAGGTATAAAACCCACCAAAAAACAGGTAGAAACCCAAAGAAAGACAGAAATAAGATGATAAAACCCTCACAGTATACCATGTTTGAATCGCCCCTAACATAGCTGTTAGTGTAGGGCTTCCAAAATAAAGATTGTATTATATATCCAGACACTGGCCATAAGGCAGCATGTGAACTGGTTTATTTTGGCTACAGCAAAGCACAGCACAGCTCCTCGAAAGCAGCTGATGAACCCTCTGCTCCCAACTCAGCCTTTAGGCAGTTGCCACATGGACCAGGCTAAATCCAACTTTACCCTCCCTGCTCCCCATTACCATTAACCTACTAAAAGCAGGTTGAGATGGGATATTGGAAAGAAATTCTTCCCTGTGAGGGTGGGGAGGCCCTGGCACAGGTTGCCCAGAGAAGCTGTGGATACCTCATCTCTGGAAGTGTCCAAGGCCAGGCTGGACGGGGCTTGGAGCAACCTGGGACAGTGGAAGGTGTCCCTGCCCATGGCAGGGGGTGGGATGGGATGATCCCTAATGTACCTTCCAACCCAAACCATCCTGGGATTCCGTGATTCTAAACCACCATGCGGGGCTTTGACGGGATAAATACAAACAGCGGCGACAGAAACACGGCAGAAAACAGCGGAAGGAGAAAACCCCGGCGGGCTCGGGGACCGCGAGCAGGGATTACCCGGGATGGGGAGCGGGAGCTCGGGGCGGCCCGCGGGCACTGACAGCGGCCGCGCACGGCCCGGTGCCGGGATCTCCGCAGTAACTTACCCCGGCAGCTGTGACACCCCCGCTCCCCGCCGGGATGGAGGAGCTCTCCCGTTTCCCAGGGCCCCGCGCCCGGGGCCGCGCTGGGGGGCGGGGGCCGCCGGGCCCGCAGGAAGCGGGGCCGGGCCGCGGATCCGCACAGCCGGGGCGGGCGGGGGCGGCGGGGCCGGGCCCGGCGGGGCGGGGGGCGAGGGCGGCGAGAAGAAGGGAGGAAGGGAGGGAGCGGGGACAGGGCCGCGCCCCGAGAGATCCCCACCGCGGGCCCGGCCCGGCCCGGCCGCACAAAGGGCAGGGGGCGCGGCCGGCAGGTGTGAGCGCACTCACCGGGTGGGCCGGCGCCGCCACCTCGGCGGACGGACGGACGGACGGGCTGGACGGGGCTGAGCGCGGCGGCGGGACCGGGACCCGGCGGGGCGGCGGCGGCGGGGCCGGAGGGGAAGCGGAACCGCCGCGCGTGGCCACAGCCCGCGGGGGCGGGCAGGGGCGGGGCACCGCCGGCAGGGCACCGCCTGCCGGAAGCCGGAAGTGGGCTCGCCGCGTGGCATAATGGGAGTTGTAGTACCCCTCGCTGATGGGAAATGTGTTTTATAGCTGTAAATAATATATATTATTTATATATATGTTTATCTATATAATATTATATTTCTCTGGGCCACAGCCAGAGAAAAATAAAACTGTCTAACAGCCCTAAAAGAATAAATGTGTTATATATATATGCACACACATATATATATATGTTATACATATATGGGGTATATATATATAATGTTACATATATAAAGTATATATATAAATGTATATAGATTTTATATCTGTTATATATTATATATTTTATGTTATATATACATTATAAATTATCAATATTAAATGTAAATATAATATGCATATAATAAATGTTATGTATATAACATTTCTAGATAACATTTATACATCTTTATGCTAGATTATATAGATTACATAATATATAATATATACTATATATCGTAGATTTTTATTTATTATATTTACATAGATTTTAATGTTATATATTTTTTTTTCCTAGAGGCTTTGCCCCCTGCAGCTGGATATTGCCCACAGCCAGAGGAGAATAAAAGAGCCCAACAACCTACAAAAAGAATAAAGGTTATATATATATAAATCGTTATAAATCTATATCAATAGATATAAATTTTACATATATAACGTTTATTATATGTAATATATTTTATATTTAACATTTTTGTAGGTAACATACTATATAATGTACATTTTACATAATATATAATATAATACGTAGTCTATATTATATATAGAACATCTATATAAACATATATGTTATGTATATGTAAATATATAGAATTTATATATAGGTATATAATTTATATACTTTATATATATAATATATAGAAATATATATTTATATGCATAATTTATAACAAATTATTTACATATATAACACATTTATTCTTTTTCTAGGCTGTTGGGCTCTTATATTCTCCTCTGGCTGTGGGCAATATCCAGCTGCAGGGGGGCAAAGCCAGCAGCCCTAAAGAAACCAGCATCAGACACTCCTGAACTGGCTCTTCTTCCCCCCTCACTTCTGTCTTGGGGTGTTTAAATTAGAGTTTATTTCCTCAGTGCTTCATTTTGCGAGGAAAACAGGTTTGGCTGAGCACAGGGGCTTCGTGCTGTGTTTGGGCATGTCCTCAAGGTCTGTCCCTGGTCATGGAGTAAAGCCCACTCTGCCACCAAGGTGCCTCATGCAATCCTGGAATGGTTTGGGTTGGAAGGGACCTTAAATGCCATCTCATTCCACCCCCTGCCATGGGCAGGGACACCTCCCACTAGCCCAAGTTGCTCCAAGCCCCCTCCAACCTGGCCTTGGACACTTCCAGGGATGGGGCAGCCGCAGCTTCTCTGGTTAACCTGTGCCTGTTCCTCCTCTGAGCTGTGCTCGCTCCTCCCGTTGCCCTGGAAGGGTCTCATTTTGTATCCCCAGCTGATCACAAACTAACCTTTCTCCCATCAACTTCTCAGGTCCCTCTCACAGCCCACCTGGCTCAGGGTTCAGTGCCAGCAGCAGGACACAGAGAAGCTCTCTGTGGTGTCTCTTCCCCCCATCAGCAACCCAAGCCCCCCCTCAGATGTGCAGCTTCCAAGAAATCCAGTGGTAACACAGCTGAGAAAGCAACGGATGGGCCCTAAATTCCTGTGAGCCATTTAATCTTCCACATGACTTCCCCAAGCTGCCCTGCAGCCTGGACTTCACCTCCTCTGTCAGTCCTGGTTTGAAGCAAGGTCTGGTTTTCCTCTCAGAAGGAGCAGGATACACACCAGGCAGCTTCTCCTCACATGGGTCTTGGGGGAAAGATCCACAAACACCTCAAACCTCCACACAGGTCTGGGCACATCAGGCTCCCCAGCCTGTGCTCCCAGCCAACACGTGCTGGCTGTCTGCTCACTCACTCTGAACTACTGCAGAGCTGGTGGCCACAGCACACTTGCCCCCACAGACCTGCCGTATTTCAGCCCATTTTCCAGGAGCAGTATTCCAAAGTGACCCCACTGTTGGCTCTGAGCCTTCCCCCTGCGGGCACGGCCGTCATCTTCGCTCCTCTTTCCCTATACGTTACTTTCCCTTTCTGACTCAGCTCCATATGTGATCCTCCCAGGATCAATCAGCTTTTGCTAATTCACCTCTGCATCATCTCTGGAGAAACCACAGCGGGTTTGTGACTTCACCCTTCCCTCAGCTCTGCTTCCCATCCCCAGGAGGCACCTCACCCTCTGTGCTGCCTCTGCCTGGTACCCCCCATCCCTCTCAGCTCCTGCTTCCTTTGCAGAATCCTGACCCCCTCCCGTCCTTCTGCCTCCCTCCCCAGGCACAGCTTTTTTTACAAACTAGGAGGGTTTTTTCTTGGTTGTTTTTTTTTTTGTTATACCCATTAATTTGTATTCAGAAAGCCTTAACTCCCAACATGGCCTCTAACACTCCATCCCCTTTTCTTTCCCCGCTCTGATTCGGTCTTTAGACACGTTAATGATGGAAGCGTTTGTGTCCGACCATTGTATTGGTGTTTTCTTGCCAGGAACACCTCATTTTTGTCTCCAAAACTGCCAGAATTTTTGCACAGGCGTTACAGATCATCTTCTGGTGTCTTGGTGATCCACATGGGGCTGGCAGCTGCATCCTCCTGCAATGGCACACCTGCTAAATTCTGTGCTGGCTTAACAGTAGCAGTTTCTGCTCTGAGAGGGAGTCTAACTGGCAAATTCATTTGTACTTAACACTACTATGGTTATTATGTTTATTAACACCTTTTAAAGAAAAACCTATCTGCTATACTTATTAGGCAAATGCTATGGATTTAAAACCAGCAAATATCTGCTGTAACAAAAAGCATTCCTTGAGAAGCTCTGCCACTCCTCTCATATTTTACATTAATCAGAATCTATTACTCAAGTGCAGCTGAAAAGCTGATTGATGGGAATCTTGACATGTATTTTACTTACATGTATTTTTGCCCCTTGCAATATTTTTTCTCATTTGTTCAAAAGATGAGAGAGTAGGTTTAGATTGATTGTTAGAAGGAAGTTCTTCCCTGTGAGGGTGGGGAGGCCCTGGCACAGGTTGCCCAGAGCAGCTGTGGCTGCCCCATCCCTGGAAGTGTCCAAGGCCAGGCTGGACAGGGCTTGGAGCAACCTGGGATAATGGAAGGTGTCCCTGCCCATGGCAAGGGATGGGACTGGATGAGCTTTAAGGTCCCTTCCAACCCAAACCATCCTGTGATTCTGTGATTCCCATTTCCTTCCCCCAGGGTCTGATATCAGGCAGCCTGATCTAGCTGAGGGATTCAACCTGTGATTTTCAACTGGTATTATCTGGTGTTTAAAAAAGAAAAAGTGAGTTTTCAGGAGACTGCCCTGCCATTGAACTCTGGCAATCTGGGATGTTGCCATTCCAAGGGTCAGACTGCCATACAGAATTACCTATGTAAGACAGAGAGAGCCCAGGAACAAATTCAACTCTGGGAATTAAGAATCCCACTCGGAGACAAGCGCTACAATGCTGGTCCCAGCACTGATGGGGTTAAACAGCCCAAATCTCTCTTTGATTTTTCCCTTTTCACGTCTCCCCCCAGCAGATGCAGAGCTGACCCCTCTGAGGTAGTGGATGAAGTCCTGGCACAGCCACCGAGGGCAAACAAGAGCCCAGTGTCCAAGCACTTGCCAACCAGTCGTGGGCGAAGTCACAAGACGAGCTCTCTGTAGAATTCCAGGAGAAAGATGCCCAAGGGATCCTGAGGCTACAGTTGGACAGTGGTGAAAGGCCAATTCTGCTGCTGGGAAGCCTCGGCCACACACTGAGCCCACAAAAGGAGTTTTCATTCACGTCCCTCACACACGCACTCCCCCAAATCACCTGCTTTTCCTGACGTACCCGCAGTTCCCAGGGAATAAAACCCTGCACGTGGGAGTTACTCTGGGCCCACGGTGCCACCTAGTGACAACTGGAGACAGCAGCCGAGCGCCTCCGCCGCTCCAGAGCCACTCAGCTTTTCCATTGGGTAATTTCCTCTCCATTCCCTCGTATTTATCAACTGTCCTGGCGACCGAATTCAAGTCTTCTAAATATTTGCTTCTAGTCACTATCTTTTCACTGGCTCTCCTCTTCCAAGGGGCTCTTTCCGCTCCTGAAATAGGGTGACGTTTCTTTCAAACTTTCTAAACTTCAACCCTGACCAACTGTTCAGCCTGGAGAAAAGCAGGCTGGGGGGGGCCTTCTCCATCTCTACAATTACCTGACAGGAGAGTGGAGCCAGGTGGGGGTCTGGCTCTGCTCCCAGGGAACAAGGATGAGAGGAAGCAGCCTCACGTTGCACCAGGGGAGGTTTAGGTTGGATATTGGGAAAGATTCTTCATGGAAGGGCTTATCCAGCCTTGGCACAGCTGCCCAGGGCAGTGGTGGAGTCCCCATCCCTGGAGAGATTTAAAAGCCATGTGGATGTGGCACTTGGGGACGTGGGTTAGTGGTGGCCTTGGCAGTGCTGGGGAATGCCTGGACTTGATGGTCTTAGAGGGGCTTTCCAACCTAAATGATTCCATGATTCTAATTTGACCAAGAGCAGCCAAATCCCTCCCAGTTATGAGAATGGGAGAGACTATTTCAGCCTTCTCCTGTCCCAGGTATACACAGAATGTCTTCACAAATTCATACATAACCCATCTGCACAACAAGCTTAAAATTCAGACAGTTCAGTGACTCCATAATGTTTTTCATACCCTTAATAATCAATCCCTGAGTCAAGAAGTACAAACAGCTCTACAAGAGGCATCACTGGACCCAGGCTCTGGGCCAGAAGGAGGGAATAGGAGCCCCAAACTCCACTGCTGACTGTTGTCCCATTACCTAGAGCAGTTTT